ATTTTAAATCACTCTATGACAAATAAAATCAAACATGAACAGCGCGAGAGGACTCCAGTGCAATCTGTTGCCCAGATTAGTCAATATCATAAAACAATGGTGACAACCTTTCGGCCCGAGGGCCTTTTCAGACGTGTCACCGGCCACATCGCTACAAACATTGAATCAGATGGGCCCGAGGCAGTGCCGGGTTTACCTATCGGCAATGTAAGCTATATATTTAGAGCTACTACCAGCTTTAGGGGCCCCCACTTGCTAGGAAGGGCATTCAGAAATCTTTCTAGATAGAGTTGCAATCCATTTGAAGAAATAGCAAAGAAAAATCACCTTATGTTGATTACACGGGGCCATTTCTCGCAAATAGCTTAGGGCCTTATAAGGTAAATCCAGTCCTGGACCGAGCTTCTGCGACTTGGTGCACTATGCACTGCAGACTTGGCTCGATTGTATTGTTAAAGATGAAATTCAGTTCAGAGGAGCACAAGCCGGTTGATTGTAAGGATGTGAATCATGTTGTCAATATAAATGTAAACTTTTGAAATTAAAATGATTGAAACTTCAACCGTCACAGAGTCGAACTCGCAATTAACATATTTCTTTTTATTCTCTTCTTTTTCACATCATTTTGTTTTCTTTTACCACATATAAAACATATATTAAACATTTAATACTACGCTGGCCTATTACATCCGTTGGATTCATCGATTGCTGCCCTTTTTTATCTCGATACAGTTGTAGGCATATAGGCTACAAAGCATAGACATAAATAAATATAGACTGGAAGTAGGAAGTTATTTTTATTTGGGGGGAGTCAAATATGTTTTATGTACTATATCTATGTGAAAAAAAATAATGGCGGCAATTGAGCTATAAATTCTAGGACTAACATTTCAGCCAATATATAATTATGATCTTTAGTTTTGAAAAGTACAAAACTGCTATATTCCCAATATTTTGCCTTTGTTTCATAATCATAGACATAGGCAAATATATATAGGTTTGTGATGTGGATCTATGTTTGTTGACATGGCTTCTTTATTAATGTATGGCGGTCGTCTTATCAATTCGAATTGTTAGAATTAGTTTTTAGTCAAAAAAGTCAAAGAAAATGAGCAGAACGTGCTCTAATGTTCGTACTACGATAGGCCAAGGGATAAATTCTAAAGGTTGAAAAAAAATTGAATATTATGCACGGTAATTTTCAGTTTCAGTAAGTCAGAATAATTCAGTATTACTGTGACTGTCACTAATTTTAAACTTAATATTGATTGATCTAAATCTAATAAATATGACTAATATTTGTAATAACTAGGTCTAATACTTTTCATACTTTTTACTACTAACTATTCAACTAGTCAGTCTATCATCTATCCATGCAGAATATAGACTAGATCTAGTATAAGTTATAGATTATTATTGATTATAGATCTAGTCACTAGTGACAATCTAGTCCTAGACTATTTATATACTAGATCTAACTATAGACTATAGACTAGACTATACAGATTACAAGTATAGTTTATAGTATAGTACTAGTAGTAAGTAGTATTTTTTTACTATAGTATTTATATAGACTAGATCTAAGTCTAATGTAGTATTTAAAACTATTTATAATTATTTTAATTATGTAAATTTAATAGTAAAAAAAAACATGGCATATATAAAATCTAGAAATCTAGGAGTATACTAGATCTAGAAATCTAGACTAGACTAGAATCTAATCTATATGGTAGGCACGATTAGAGATATAATAATACAGAAGTGGTTCTATCAATTATATAGGTTATGGCTGAAAAAAAAACTATAAATACTTTTAATTTTACACTGCTCATAACTGCTGTATAGCTCATACAAACTTATCTTTTAACAAATGTTTCCCATAATAATTTTTACTTTATCGTCCAGTTATATATATATATATATATATATATATATATATATATATATATATATATATATATATATATATATATAGGTCTATTCTACAAAGCTTATCAACTATTGATATACTTTACAATTTTAAATTGTGTTTTAAGGTAATATACGAGCATGAAACTAAGTATACATAATTAACTTTAAAGATAAATGAGTTCCTCTTTCAGAAGAGCAAAAGCTGTCATGGCTAAAAATAAAACGGCGGGTGAATGAATAGCTCTGCACGTTTCCAATGGCGTATCAATTACAAACGATAAAAATAAAACGCTCCACTGACTTGCACCAAACACACAGCTGAATAAAGACGTCTGTCTTTTACGAGATGGTTATGTGATTAAACTATCTGATGAAATCAATAGCAATGTCAATGCCAATAACCTTAAGACGCCTTGGGTGGTAGGGATTACGAACCAGATTGGAAAGAAAATAAAAAGCGGGTTCGAAACTTCGAATGTAAAAACAATATAGAGGATAATAATAATCATTTAATATTAAAAAGCTAAAGGAGTTTACGTTCTCACACCAAACTTGTAGGTGGCCCCTGCGAGCAAATCGTCTTCAAACATGACGATCCACACAGGCTCACACCTAAACGACACAGGCAGTTGCGAATTATCAAGATTTGTCTATTGACTCTTGTAATAATTTTTTAAATTTATAATTGGATTTTTAGAAACAAAAGACGATATTTCGAATAAATAGGTAAATGGATATAATTTTATCGAGTATAGTGTAGTTCTTTGTTATCACACCTTGAGACTTAAAAAAAAAAAAAATCTTGTTTTAAAAATGGTATACGTCTTTGTAAGAACGTTTGCTAAATTAATTTTAAAAAGCAAAGATTTTAAAAGCAGCCGTTGTAGTCGATAGTTAAATCGGATTTTCAATAGCGCTTTTTGAAATCTAAACCTAGCAGACGGACTGACTGACTAACAACACAAAACCTAAAGCAACTTTTTCCAAGGAGGACCGTTGAAAATACTAGGAAACGCTATGTTTCAAACGTATGGTATTAAACAAAATGGGAAATTGATTTTAAAAAAATAATAAAATATGGATGTAAAGTATAAAAAAAATTTACGCTGTTTTATATATATCGAGTCTTTAACTCTTTCTCTCCGTAATTTTTTACCACATTCTGGTGGAATCAACGTTGGTATCGTCTGTTAGGAGAGAAAGAGTTAAGTAAAGCTAAGGGCTTTAAATCAAACGAATGTACACATTTGGTTAGGCCAGTGTTTCCCAAACTGTGTTCCGCTGAATCCTAGTGTTCCGCGAGGCCTGAAAAGATATTCCTTGAATTACTGGAACAATTAACTAGTAGGTCACCACGTGAATTAATCTCTTTAAAAGCATAAGCATATCGCTCTAAATTCTAAATACTTGGAATTTGCGAGGTGTTCCGTTAAGGAAAAAGTTTGGGAAACTTTGGATTAAAGTAACACGGTCCAGGGCGCACACCACACGACCAGTTTGTGAAGAGAAAATACATGACCGAGTTTAAAGCTCTAATAAAAAAAATTAAAGTGAAATGACCCTTTCAGGCCTTGTGGTCTATAGGACAGATAATGTAAACTAATGTAAAGGTTATCTGTTTCTATGGCCAACGGTTAATCAAGAGTGCTATGTGTCCTGCATAACGACCAACCGCCAAATAGGTTCCCCTTAAAAGTAAAGAACTTGTTTGTTTTTTAGTTTCGCCTCTTTTAGTAACAAGATGTAACAAAGGCAGTTAACACATTTCTTATACAGAGAAGATCTAGATCTATCTGTAAGTCGTATGCTAGATTTATATCACGGTGTGTCATCGGGGACTGTGGAAAGCGTGTCACATCACAACACACATACAAGAACGTGTCAGATGCACGTCTTTCCGGCCATCGCATAAAATTACTCAACCGTAACAAATTTGGAAGTCTTGCCCCCCTCCCAAACACATTTTCCCCGATACACGCTAACTATAACCAGCGTACAATGGCACAATAACAAATAGATCTAGAATATAATCTAAAAAACCCTCTCCCCAAACTGAAAAAGTTTAAAATTAATACCATCGTTCGTCGCCAAACAAACAACGGGCTAATTTGGGAACAAAGAAAAAAATAAACGAAAGAATTAGTAAGCAGTGCCCCACATTATAGATAGTGATGAGATTGACCTCTAATGAATATTTCTGAATGGGAGTTCAATATCTATATACACGTGTCTTTATACTATTTATAGACATATCTATATCCAATACTATTACTCATATATAATAAATTGTTGTGATTAACTTTCTCAAAACTTAGGCCTAAGTCTTACCTTATTAGACCTAGTCTAGATTCTAGATCTAGCTAGATCTATCTTACTATCTAGAATTACAGATCCATTATCTAGACCTAGATCTAGAGCCAGAGGCAGAGCAGGATTTCTTATCTTATGATTTTCTTATAAAATAAAGACGTTACTTAGATCTATAAATAAATAGATCTAGATTTAGATTAGAATAGATCTGGGCTAAGTATTAATCCAAAAACTGAACACAATGCGGCACAATCAAGAATGTATTCCCAATGCTCGCAACATGTAAACACACACAAGTGGAGGCTACTACCCACGCCGTGTTTACACACTAGATCACTATGTCAAAAGCGTGTCATTTTTTAAAAAAACTGCTAAACTACCGTCACAACAAAACATAACTCTAATGATAGGGGTCAAAGGAAGAGAGGAGAGAGAGGCGACAGAGGTGGTAAAGTGGCAGACGGGAAAGGAGTGGTAGAGCATTGAATCATGCACCCACTGTTTTGTCACAATGGTGGCATCACGATAAAGAAAACATGAAAAGAAGAAAGGAAAGGGGGAGGGGGGCTTACTTTTGGTATCAAATTAGGGCAACTAGCGAATTGTCGCTTGGTGTGACTGGGAACACACGCTTATAATGGAATGTCAATGACACGCCAACGGACAAACATTTATCTCGCAGACTGTAGCAGACGACTTCTGAAAACTTGAGACACCAGAGGGCAGTGTACAATTGGGAATTTTACTGTCATTGCTTACAGACAGCGCATCTTAAAGCCTTTGTGTGTGCATGTGGGTTTGATTCACAAGAACCTATTTAATATTTGACTAGCGTAACAGCATCAGTTATCGATTAGTATGCATAAGGGTTTTGTGTATACACTAACGCTGTATATCAATTATTACGGAAAATACGTTAGAATAGTATTAGACTACACTGTAAAGTCAGTCACGTCGAGCAGTGGGGCCCATTTTATAATAGACATTCTACAATCTCTTGTGTAATTCTGGTCTTACTTGAGTTCCAAGCGATCCTTTCGAAGTGGTCCACGGGCCCACCGGGGATTTGCCTGAAAGCCCATATAGCTAGTCCGCCCCTGCACTGAACTCATTAACACTCCAGGGTAGAAGACGATAAAGTATAGTAGCAATAATGTACGGACAACTTATATACATAAAACCAAAATAAAATACCCAGAAAGACACAAAGATAGAGGTGCATTTCTTTTTCCATATGCTAGGACAAGTTCCTATAAGAACTATTTCTTCCCTAGTTCCATTTAAGCATGGAACGAGTTGCACGAATCAGACAGAAAATTCAACGACTTAGCAGACTTTAATTCTCTAATTTACATGTACGACTTCCCAATAGGAAATGTGAATGAACATAATTATCATATCCTTTGAAGGAACTTCTGTAACTTACACGAGATTTATTTCCCTCTAAGTAACACTTAACACTTTTCTGTCTTAATTGCCACAATTCATTACCACCTAATGTAGTCCGTTTACATATCTCAGCCCCCATCCCCACCTTTTTGATGTGAAATTTCGCATAGGCCTACTTGAGGAAGAGAAATGCTTTAATAAAATGGAAAATTGATTTTTAAAAACCCATTTCCGTCTTTCTCTGTCTATCTCTCTCTCTCTCTCCTTCTCTTTATTCATCGCAATATTACCTTTAACAATCAAAACAAGACCTTGGCATGGATATTCATTCTTTTCTAGATCTACATGTATATTATTAATATAGTTAAATTCAAAACAGTTTTTACATTAATTGTATTATTTAAAAGGAGATATACTTGTAGTGCAAAGTCTCACCTTTAGTGGCGAAAACAAAAAGTAACTGGGCAGGTCACCTTGAAAAAAATGTCAGAGAACAGATGTGTGAAAACTGTATACCGGCAAAAAACAAAAAAAGGCAGGCGACCCAAAGTCAGACCACGAATACGATGGATTTACGATATAGAGGCAGATCTACAACTAAAGAGTTCGGGCATGGAGACGCTCAAGATCTGAATGGAAGGAGGTACTGAAGCAGACCAGAGCGCTCCATGAGCTGTAGCACCAGTGGGATGGATAGATGGATTAGGTAAGATCTAGGCTTCTCTAGTTACAAGCTCGTTAAGAGCCAATGCTACCATTTATCTGTAAGTAATACACATTCACTAAGACTCTAAATGTGTCATAAATCTCTTTTGTCTAAATGTAGAAAATCATGCAATGTTCACATTTATGTATATAAAGAGGCGACCAGCAGGACCTCGTGTACTGTTTGTAATCGAACGCAGGTAATAATGTTTTAAAATTAACATTTACATTGGAATGAAGTTTTGGAATGTGATTCCTGGTAGCTTGTAGTTCAGAGCTTCTGATCATGTCAATCTATCTGTAATGCGGACCTATCATGGACCCATCGGGCGCCGCTTGAGTTTGTGTGATAATTCAAACTCTTTTTGTAATCTTGTTTGTGTATGTGTAGTTGTCATAAAAAAGTCAGAATGCCTCGAACTAATTACACAGTAATGAAATAATCAAATTTTATCCAACTATATTAAATTAATATTAAATAGTAAAATGGTTATTATGGTTCTCTATTTTCTGTTTTAGAGCTATCCCTGAGCCTTGCTTGACAAGCTGTTGCTTGTGGTCCTACGTTCAACACTAAGGGTTAAAAAAAGTTTATCTGAACATTGACACATGCGGCTCTCACACCAATGGCGCATTGCTGAAGTAATTCAATCCTTTTATTTTTCTTGATTAAAGTGGATCCGTTTCTGTGTTTTAATTTTACGGGAGTATTATTTGACCAGCACAACGGTCAATCTCCTTTAAAAGTGTACGTGGGCAGTCATAGTTGAATGGACGCATGGCACTCCGTATTTTTTTCCCTATCGTTAGGTCATTGTAAAATATATAAAGAGTAGTAGGGGCTGGCAGGTGCCCTAAGACAGACCACGAGTACGGAGGCTTGATGACGAAGAGGCAGATCTGCAACAGCTAAAAGTCCAGGCATGGAGACGTAAAGCACAGGATAGATCAGAATGGAGAGATGTGCTTAAGCAGACCAGGGCCCTCCACAGGATAGATCAGAATGGAGAGATGTGCTTAAGCAGACCAGGGCCATCCACAGGATAGATCAGAATGGAGAGATGTGCTAAAGCAGACCAGGGCCCCCTACAGGATAGATCAGAATGAAGAGATGTGCTAAAGCAGACCAGGGCCCTCCACAGGATAGATCAGAATGGAGAGATGTGATAAAACAGGTCAGGGCCACAGGATAGATCAGAATGGAGAGACGTGCTAAAGGAAGCCAGGGCCCTCCACAGGATAGATCAGAATGGAGAGATGTGCTTAAGCAGACCAGGGCCCTCCACAGTATAGATCAGAATGGAGAGATTTGATAAAACAGGTCAGGGCCACAGGATAGATCAGAATGGAGAGATGTGGTAAAGCAGGCTGCGGACCTCCATGGGCCGTAGCGCCAATGGAATGGATAGGAGGAGCGGGTTAAAAGCTGGGATGCCCATCAAAGTGTTCGGGTTCGAACCCCTGGTGGACGCAGCCCATTAGTTTCCCCAGATCATTATAGATATGCTTAGCCCAGAAAATAATGTCACCTGATCTTTTTGCTGGCTCTGTATTACCATAGTTAACTGATGGTCAAAGATATGACGTCCACTTGAAAAAAATAACAACAACAAAATAGGTTTTGAAGGGATAGACTGTATCGACCACAATTGTAATGGGCAGATCAGCATTCTGAAACTAAAAGGGCATAGAGAAGGTCTGTGTTTTGAAATAGGGGCATCTTTCCTTTCTTTCTTCCCCCCCCCCTCTCTCTCTCTCACACACACACACACTTTCCCTATCTCTTTATCTTCCCCATTCTGCACATCTCTGTCTGTCTCTCTTTTCCTCTCCCTAACTCTCTTTTTTGACGCTCTCTTTTACATTCTTACCACCCCTTTATTGTCTCTCTCCCTCTCTCTTTCTCTCTCTCTCACATTCTTTGTAACTTAAATTCCTTCTAACCCATCTCTCTCTCTCTTTACCCATTCCCATCTCTCCCTCTCTCTCTCTCTCTCTTTTCCTCTCCCTTACACTATTTTTGAGTCTCTCTCTCTCATTCTCTCCATCCCTTTCTTCTCTCTCTTTCTCTCGTTTTCTCTCTCTCTCTCTTTCCGTCTATCTCTTACTCTTAATGAAACGCACATGGAAAGGTAAACTTGTGTGCATATCAACACACTACACAGTCCTTCTCTCCAAAAGTTTGAGAACCACTGCTGTATAAACATTGTCCTTATTGATTCTCTCATAAAGTGCCCCCCTCCCCTTCTCTCACACTTCCCCGCACCACTTATAAAAAAGAAATCCTTGTTGTATCGATTAAATGGCAGGTGTATATAGATGGTAAATAGTGTCTACATAAGTACACGTCACATGATCGTCTCGGTATAAATAGACATCAAGTGACCTTCTCGCCTTAAAGTTCAAGGGTCGAGCTCAAGATTCAAAGGACAAGTTTAACTGTACCTATTTACTTGATTGAAGGCTGCCAGGACATCCACGCTGTTATCAGCAGCAGGAGCCTGAGCTGGCTTGGACATGTTCACAGAATGCCACTAGGTAGACTCCCACAAGACATTCTGTATGGTGATCTTATAGAAGGCAGGAGAGCCGCTGGTCACCCACTTTTAAGGTATACTGATGTATGCAAACGCGACATGAAGCTCTTCAAAACTGACACTAGCAGTTGGAAAAAAATGAGGCACTGGATAGATCCACATTAGAGTAAAATTAAAGAAAGAGTCATAGATTGTTGATGGTGTACACACTAGAATTGCAGATGTCATACACAACAGAAGCAGAAAGAAGGGCGAAAATGCAACGGCGCCTCGTGATTATATATGCCCAACCTGCGATCGCAGCTGTGTATCAAGGATTGGCCTCTTTAGTCACACAAGAAGTTGCAAAGGGAAAAGATCGTCTCTCGAGACGTAAAATGCCACAGAAAAGAAATCCCACAGACACACTAGAATAGAAAGAAGGGTGAAAGTGCTACAGCGTCTTATCTTTTTCTTATATATTACAGACGTTACTTCAAAAAAGAAGTTATTACGCCCAAGCGAACACGGTAACCACTCTACTAGTGCAGAGCCTATAAATATGGAAGATTGTATAGTTATCTATTGTTTTTATAGTCTCGTCTTATTTTTTAGGTTTGTGTTCCCTAAGACCCAGACGACGACCTATAAAGGGGACTAATTCAGTGAATACACCACTACAGTCGAGTACAATTTCTTTCCCTTGTTCGAGATACCAAACAAAATAATTTACTTATTGGTTAATGTTTTTTTTATTCATTCTTGTGTAGTCGTGTAAAAGAAATAGTTATGCAAAATTTAAACTTAATGCGAGATTGGGTGTGGGAGAAATCACATGTACAAACTTTTACCAGAGAGTCAGACAGAGTGAATTGATATAAGCTTTAAAAAAATTAAATTTGATCTTAAAATGCTGAAAAAATTACTAAAATTTTTATATGCTTATTAATACTTCAGTTTTCCGTATACCGAATACACACACAATGTTTATGTATGACTAAATGCATGACGCGTAGGACGTAATCATCTTCTTTTTTGAAGTAACGTCTGTATTATATAAGATAAGATACCTACATTAAATATGAAATCTTTAACACAAAAGAAACATTGCCAACTATGAAGTTCTACAGCCAACGTAGAAGATCAAAATATTGGAACTATAATAAAATTAACTCTTTCTCTTCGTAATCATTTTCTACGTTTCGACGGGATTCTTTATTCTGCTCAGTAGTATTCACTCCCCTGTTATGATTAAGCTTCAAAAACTTTTTTGTTTGTTATCAGACATTGTTTTATTTTGGTATAGAAGTAAAGGGGAATGCATGCTCTTTTTATATAAATCAAAGTAAAGTTAAAACAAGGTTACAAAGACAGTTTGTGTGGAAACACAAACTCAAAATCGGCCCCCGAAGTGGTCCACCCAGGCAGGCTTCAATATTTTCATAAAGAAAATCCAAATGAAATTATATCAAAGACAAATGAGAGATAAAAATGGAGTAAGAAGGTTGACAGATCTTGTGTAGTGCCCCAACGGCCCAGCAGATTAAAGGATAGGTGCTA